CTTGGTTGATTAGCTTAATATATGGAGTAATCTCGTAAACCACGAGCTAGGTTGCACGAACAAGAGACATGAGATACAGGAACGTATGGATACGATAATTATAAAAAGTATAACATCTATATGCTTAGGACACACTACACTAAATAAGTAATACATTAATATTTCAAATAAATAAACAATCATTTATAATAAAATAACAATCATTTATAATAATTATAAACATAAAATAAAAAACTTAATTTCTTATTTCAATGATAAAAAATAAATTGTTTTAAAAAATTTTGGTTGATTAGCTTGGGTGTATTGAGTTAGTCTCATATATCAGAAGCTAAAAAGGTTGCACGGACACGGGACAGTAAGAATATAGGAAATGAACGAGTACGAATAATTTTTAAAAGCAAAACATCTACACGCTTATGACACACTACACATTAATATTTCAAATAAATAAATAGTCATTTATAATAAATCATAAACGTAAAAAAATTAATTTCTTATTTCAACGACACAAAAATAAATTTAAAAAAATTAATTTTTTTATTGGTAATAAAAAAAATATTGGTTGATTAGCTTGATGTATGGAATAGTCTCATATACCAAGAGTTAAGTAACACGAACACGGGATACGAGATATGAAAACTTAAGAAATATGATAATTTTAAAAAAAAAGTAAGACATATAGATGCTTACACTAGATAAATAATACATTAATATTTTAAATAAATAAACAATAATTTATAATAAATTATAAATATAAAAAATACTTAAAAACACTTCATTTTTTATTTTTAAAAAAGCAAAACATCTACACGCTAGCAAAACATCTACACGCTTATGACACACTACACTAATACATTAATATTTCAAATAAATAAATAGTCATTTATAATAAATCATAAACGTAAAAAAATTAATTTCTTATTTCAATGACACCAAAACAAATTAAAAAAAAAAACACTTCATTTTTTATTGATAACAAGAAAAAATTTTGGTTGATTAGCTTGGTTTATGGAGTGGTCTCATATACAATGAGCTAAGTTATATGAACATGAGACACGAAAATACGGGAATATACGGGATACAATAATTTTTAAAAAAGGTAGAATATCCATACGCTTAAGACACACTACACTAAATAAGTAATACATTAATATTTTAAATAAATTAAATAAACATCATTTATAATAAATTATAAACATAAATAAAAAATTATTTCATAAATTATAAAACGTAAAATAAAAAATAATTTCTTTGTTTCAATGACACAAACAGAAAAAAAAAAAAAAAACTTCAATTTTTTTATTGAAAAAAAAAAAAAAAAAACACTTCATTTTTTATTGGTAATAAAAAAAAATATTAGTTGATTAGCTTAGTGTATGGAGTAATCTCATGTACCAAGAGTTAGGTTGCACAAACATGGTACATAAGATACGGAAACGTATAAGATATGATAAATTTTAAAAAAGCGTGATATCCACGTGCTTAGGACACACTACACTAAATAAGTGATATATTAATAAATAAATAAATAATCATTTATAATAAATTATAAAATAAAAAATATTTAATTTCCTATTTCAATATAATTAGTTAAATTCTCAAAATTATTATCACTATTGAAAAATTACATTAATGGTGTGTATGCGATGTAGCTCATACTATGCATGATTTTGCTATTGCATACCTTATAAAAGATTTACATGATACTTAAGAAAGCATTTCTTAGCACTGCAACTTTTCAGCATATTTAAATGAGATATAATTTATCATTTTATTATATAATTTTACTATTTTTAAATGATGTTATGAAATATTATTTAATATTACTTTGTGCATCGCGCGAGTTCTAGCACTAGTAATATATAAAAAGTATAGTAGTTTATCTTAAATGAGCAAAGTGTAAGTTTCTCAAATTGCAAGTGTAAAGAGAGCAGTTATTTATCACAATTGTAAGGAGAACAATTATTTACTTGGTCTCACACACTATCGTCGTTTTAAATGACACTAAATAGTGTTATTATAAATTTATATTTTTGAACAATTTAATTAATAAAAATTTTAATCTCATCAAAATACCAAAATTTAGTTTAAAAAGGGTTATTGAATGGAGCCAATATGAAAGGTATTAAGTGCATGGAAATTCGACTCTCATCAAAATTAACCTTTAATTAATTAATTAATTGGACTTCCATTATCTTACGGGACTTATGTTTAAATTTATGAAGTTTAACAATAAAAATATCATGTTAACTACCAAAACCTCTTTTCTTGCAATTAATATGACATGCGAGTTTGAAATAGCAGCAGTTGCCGGTGACAGATAGATACAGAACTTTAATACTTGATTTTGTAGGTAAATAATAATTAATCTTCTTATATGTTATTTTTAGCATCCAAAGCTAAATTTAATGATATATATCAACTTTTTAATTTTTCACGCTGCATTAAAAATTAAGTGTCTTTTCATATTAAAAAAAAATTAAATAGTATTTCAATTTATCCACATATCAATATTCAATTTCGCTTTCTTTATTTCTGTCCATCCTAATTCTATTATATATCAACTTGAATCCTGCATTATGTATTTAATTTGAACGCAATTAATTAAACATCACAAATTACCTTCTATTTATCGTTAATTAATTCATTAATAGGTAACCATCAGATAATACGCAGTTATTTAGTCCCACACGCTACTGTGATGAATATGACATCTACTTCATATAATGTTCTTCTACTTTTGTTATTCTAATAAATTGAAAAAAGAAAAAAAAAAAAGAAATTATGGTCAGTAATAATACGGAGAAGAGAGAAGAAGCAAATTCCAAAAGTCAACATCAGTGTGTATTACTATATTTGCATAAATATTTAACTATTAATAAATATATATTAGTTCATAAATGATATACACATGCTTAAATGATATTAGATCAATGTGTATAGAATATGACAATTTTTTAAAAAATAGGACATCCACACGTTTAGAATACACTACACTATATAAATATAATAAATTGGTATTTCAAATAAATAAATAATTATTTATAATAAATCATAAATATAAAATTATTATTTTTATAATAATCATAAATAAAAATAAAAAAAATACTTAATTTCTTATTTTAATATAATTTCAGTCTAACTTTTTTCAAAATTATTATCATCATTTAAAATAACGATTAATAGTGTATGTTTTGATTTTTTAATGCGGTCATATAACCATGTATGGCTTTTGCTATTGTATAACTTGATGTACACGGTGTGTACCACAAATGAGTTATGACATATGAGAACATGATGTCACTTTACACACGTAGAATATAAATTGATTGAAATGTTTGAGGTTAATAGATTCGTTGATCATGAAAGTGGATGACTCATTTCATGATCAGCGAAGATATAATAACGTTATAATAAATCATAAATATAAAATAAAAAAAATACTTAATTTCTTATTTTAATATAATTAGTTAAATTTTCAAAATTATTATCATCATTTAAAAATACGTTAATAGTGTATGTGCATTTTTTAATGCAGGTCATACCATGTATGGCTTTTGCTATTGTATACCTTGATGTAAGGGTGTCAAAATGAGTTATGACATGAGAACATGATTCACTTAACACGTGAAATAAAATGATTAAAGTTGAGGTTAAATAGATTCGTGTCATGAATGGGTGACCCATTCATGACACGAATATAAACGTGTCGTGTCACAAGTCAACATACAAGTTAGGTGAGTGACCTATTTATATAAAGGTAAAGAAGTAATTTTAGTGTCAGATATAAATATCCAACTAAACCCTATTTAAACTTTATTAATGTATTAATTTTTTTATTTTAGTTATAAATCTTGAATAATCTGTGTATGAAAATTTATTTTTAAATATAATTTGAGTTAGATAAGTTAAATTTAAAAATATCATAATTAGATTGAGTTGCGTACAGATCAACACGATCACTTAACCTGTTTATGGTATCAGGCAGGTTATATGGGTCGTATACGAATCAATCTGACTCACTTAACTTGCTCGTGATATTAGGCGGATTACAAAGTGTCGTGTTCGTGTTGACCATAATTATGTTGAGTGTTATATGAAACTGAATCAAACCCGAAACGTCAACCTGTTTTGACACATCTATCTTGGTAAAAGACTTTCAAAGACACTTGAGAAGACACATATTAGTATTGCAATTTTTTCGGTAAATTTCAATGATATACAATTTTATAATACATTGCACAATTAATTTATCATTTAATTTTGTTATTTTAAAATAATATTATAAAAGATTATTTTATTTTTTAATATTTGAGTTCTAATACTTTTTTTTTTTCAAAAAAGACCAATTACCTACACAATGGCCACGTTTCCGTTCTAGAATCCTCTATGGGTCACACCAATGTCCAATAATACGAACAACAAAAGATCACGGGAGTAACAGAAAAAACTAGCTCACGAGACACCTTCAATAATAGAATTAGATACAAACAGAAAAACTGAAACAAAACGTATGAAGTTGCAACACTCACTCGCTGTCCACCACATTAATTAATAAAATAAAATAAAAAAAAAAAACATATCCATCTTTTATTTCAATTATCAAAAAAATAAAATCCTTCTTTTCTCTCATTTGCTAATTGGTACCGCAATTAAAATCACTAAAATTATTTTGAAAACAAATTTCATGTCTTTTTATTATAAAAAACTATATTTAATTTTTATGGTATAATAACTAAGTGTAATCCCTATACTATAGAATATAAAATTTTTTATTCTTCCGGCAAAGTAAAGTTCGTATTTTTACCTTATAAAAATTGAGGTCGCTTACCACTTCACCAACAAAAGTAAACTAAATATATTTTTTTAATAATAAATATATTTATTTGATACTAGCATATAGAAAATTTGTACATTTCAAGAAAATAATTTTCAACCTTAATGCACAAAACACAGTGATTCCACCCTTTTAAGTTTTGTCTTCTTCAAATTCACATAAAAGAGAATTAAGTCCTCTAAACTTAGAACCACCACACCACAAAACCACCCAATTGTCTCACAAGCAACACTACACTCTTCCTCTCTCAAAAAACAATTATGAAGCCACCATTCCTCTTCTTTCTCCTCCTCTTCATCACCTTCACTAGCAACACCCACTTAATCTCTTCCCAATCCTCATCTCCGCCACCCGAACCACTGCAAAAGAGACCGGATAACGAGACCATATACAAAATCTCCAAGCAACTATGCTTAGGTTGCATTGGAGAGTCATTACAATTCTTATTTGCACATAATTTAGTTAGGGCAGCAAAATGGGAGCTACCGTTGATGTGGGATTTTCAGCTAGAGAAATATGCAAGATGGTGGGCTGGGCTAAGAAAAGCAGATTGCCAATTGGTCCATTCTTTTCCAGAAGGGGACTTCAAGTTAGGAGAAAATATATATTGGGGCAGTGGGAACACGTGGACACCACGTGATGCTGTTAGTGCATGGGCTAGTGAAGAAAAATACTATAGTTACGAAACAAATAGTTGTGTTGAAGGAGAAATGTGTGGGCATTATACACAGATTGTTTGGAAAAGTACTAGGAGAATTGGCTGTGCTAGAGTTGTTTGTGATGATGGAGATGTGTTTATGACTTGTAATTATGATCCTCCTGGTAATTATATTGGTGAAAGGCCCTACTAATTAATTAATTTTATACTATAATTAAGTTTAATTAGGTAGTTTGTGTCTTGGTAGTGGAAGTTAGAAATAGTTTTGGATTGTAATTAGTGTGACTTTTGTATCTTAATTACTTAGATTAATTGCCTAATGTATATATATAGAGTTAGTAAGGCAGATATTATAATGTTAGGTGTCACTTGTTAAAATTATTATTATTAGTTTATTTAATTATTTTCAGAAAATTAAATTTAAAAATGTATAATGTATTAAATTATCATGTTTGTTTGTAAATGATTTTTTCTAACAACGAATAATATAATTGTTAGACATCAACTCTGATACCACTTGTTAGGCATCAGCTCTGATACTACTTGTTGGACCCTTTCAAATAATTAAGAGAAAATTAACGCAGCGGAATAATAGAAATGAGACACACAGAAATTTAAATGAGACCACAGAATTTATGTGGTTCACCCTCAACTGTTGTTAGGCATCAGCTCTGATACTACTTGTTGGACCCTTTCAAATAATTAAGAGAAAATTAACGCAGCGGAATAATAGAAATGAGACACACAGAAATTTATGTGGTTCACCCTCAACTGTTTAGGGCTCAACTGTTTAGGGCTACGTCCACGGGACAAACTCCGAATAATTTTTCCATTATTACAAATAGTAGGTATACAAAAAGAGCAATACAAAAAATAATGGCACTCAAAGTGTTTCCCAAAAACACCCCATAATAATTTCCTCACTATTTTTCTCTCCCTAGTTTTAGAAAACCCTTCCTAAAACTATACACACTCTCTCTACATTTTTTTCTTATTCGTCTTTCTTCTGTGTGTGTTGTGTAGAGGTGCATCTGCCTCTATTTATAGGCGAGGATACGAGAGAGGTAATGTGAGAGCCGTGTATTGCTAACCTTTGAATAACTTTCACTGCTAACTTTGATTTCTTCTTAAAAAAAACGTGTTTTATTTTTTCAAATGTATGTGGGTCCCATATATCGGATGGACCCCACAACAATAATAATATATAGATCTTCCAAATAAATTTAATAAAATTATTTTTTTAAAGGAGAGTGCTTGTGACATGCACTGAAAAGGAAAAAAAAAAAAAAAAATCAAAATGTTACATTTTTCTAAGTGTCAATTTACATGGATAGATAAATATACTGAGTAGACAAGTTTTATCAGGTGTTCAAGCTTTTCCATAGAGAAAAGGAGATATAAACCCATCTTAAGCTTATCCTTAACTATTTAAATAAAAAATAATTTCCAAACGATTAATTTTTAAAAATAACCAAAATTTCAATATTTATTTCATGATATATTCACTATATGGTTGAAATTTTAGCTATTAATTTTACATGTAAGGCTAAAAGTTCGAAATTTGGACTAATTATTAAAAAGAGTTAAAAAAGTTAAAAAAAAGTTAAAAAAAAAATTGTTACTGCTTTTATCTTTTTGTTCAGTATATGGTTAGAAATAACCTTGTGTGAACCAAAACACTATTTGTGATAAAAAAAAGTTAAAAAAAATTGTTACTGTTTTATTTTTTTTTTCTTAATTTAGAAATATTCTTATTTGAACTAAAATATTGTTTGTGATTAATTTAGAGTGCGTTTGATTTAGCTGATTCATGTAGTTGATAGTTGTTTTATACCAACACCTAAGTTGTAGTTAGGAGTGTGCAAATGGGCGGTTCGGTTCAAACCAAAATCACAAAAATTGAAATAATTTCATAAACCAATTAAACTAGTTGATTCGATTCGATAGGCTTCGATTGGGTCAAACAGTTCAATTTTACTCAGAAAATGAATATTTTGGAATAATTAATCCAAAAACTGAAAACTAAAATTATGGAAGTTTTCAAATTGAAAACCAAACAACCGAATCAAAAATAAAAAATAATTTGGTTTGATTCGATTTTTGATTTGTTCCAAAGTTTGATCACCCCTAGTTGTAGGTGTTTGATAAGCTTTTTAATCAGCAACTGATAGCTGATAGAAATTCTAATCAATTGTTGTTTCTATAAGCTACATCCAAGAGCTTTTTCACGTCAGTTGGTAACTAATTTATATTTATATTATTTTGGACTTTATTAATCTCATAATAAATAATTTTTAATAAAATAATTTTTAAAAATTAATATTTTTATGATAATTTTGTTTATACTTATTTAAAAAATTTTCTTAAATATTATTTTAAAAATTTAATTAGTATTTTTATTTATTTAATACATTCAAATGAAAATAATATATTTACCTGAAAATACAAATAATATATTCACCTTAAATTATATATATACACACACACTGTTGAACCAAATAGATATTTCGTATATAGGTGCACTCATATACCAGGTGTAGGTAAGTTTTTGTAAAAGAAAAGTGTTGCCTATAGTCAGTATAATTTTAGTTTTCTAGTATTGGATTATAAATACTCTTATTTGAACCAAAATATTGTTTGTAATTAGTTTGGTACATATATACCGTATATCAGGTGTAAGTAAATTTTTTTTCCTTCAGTAAATACCATCCCAGTCCAAAAGGTAGAAATATATGTGCAATAAAAAAAAAAAAAACAAAAAGATTGCTAGTTTGGGATAAGCATAATAATATTGGAAATTAAGCTTGTTATATGAGGAGCTAACTTCATCCCCACTGGCATTGTGGAATTAACTTTTAAGACAAAAATAATTTAAATCTAAGTATGTGGATTCCGTTGGCTATTGGCCCGCAACAACATCTCTTTCTTTCGTACTGCACATGGCCTTGGCCCAGTTTCTTTTGCTGCTTCTGTTAGGTATAGTAACTAAAACCAGCTTGCTGTTGGTCCCTCTTTGGACTTCTGTGATCAACTGATCCACCATTGCAATGGAAATGCTTTTCCAAAATCATTTTTCAGTTTTTAGTAAAAAATACAGTTTAAAGAATTTTATCCCATTAAAGACAGAGATGAAATTCATATACGAAAGGGACTTTGCAATGTTTCTATGAATTTGTTTTTTCCTCGCAAAGAAATGAAGCAAAAGATTACAACTTGGAGATTAGTTTCTATCAAGAAAAGCCATAGACATAAATACTTACTTTACTGGATATATACTAGAAATAGCAGCAGCACAGCACCGCACCGCTTATAAGGTTTTCTTCTTTCTTCTTCTTTATTTTTCTTTCAGGGAAACTGATTTCGACAGAAAAGAAGAACTCACATCACGACATTAATTCACCAGAACAATCTATATATATATTATTAAAATATCATATTCTAAAAAAAGAAAAAAAGAACAACTTGCAAAATTTCATTAATAAGGCCTCTCTCCTATGTAGTTGCCAGGAGGATCATAATTGCAAGTCATAAAAACTCCTCTACCACCAAAACAATTAACTCTGGCACAACCAACTCTCGTTGTTCTTCTCCAAACAATTTGCGTATAATGTCCACATTCTTGATCTCCATTACAAGAATTAGACCAATAGTTATACCATTTCCTCTCCGCTACCCATGCAGTGACTGCCTCCGCTGGACTCCACCCGGTGCCACTCCCCCAAAAAATATTCTCCCCATAAGGCCCATTTGAGTGCCTCAAGTCACAATCCTTCCGCCTTTGATTAGCATACCACTGCGCGTAGCGCGCCAGCCTTGTATCCCACATTAATGGTGGCATACGCAGTGCTCTGCGCGCAGCATTTTGCGGAGCTAAGAATTGGCTTGCAATGCTGAGATATCTAATTCTTTGCTTAACAATGGTGGATTCTGCGGTTCTTGATATGAGGAGGAGGAAAATAAAGGTGAGAGTAGCACAGGAAGAAGTATCCATTTTTGGAGTTAAAATTTAAGTTAGAAGGTGATATTGCAGTTGCAGAAGGGAGAATTTACATTTATAATTATGAGAAATTGAGGAGTAGTTGGATTAGAAGAGGGTATAAAGTGTCAAATATATGGGGTGGCACCCATGTTCGATTATGATTGCCACATTGTTTTTGTGGGGGACAAAGGTTTCAATAACTATAACTACTTTCCTATGACTTCATTATTATATATTTTGAAGGAAACCTTATTGTTGAATTTTATATTTGATGGTTCCACCCTATATTTTTTAAGAAAGGACACAGATAAAGACATAAAAATATAGGTGTTGAAAAAAAAAAAAACCCAAGTTTATTAATCTATTATCATCACCTTTTCTTTCTACCATAATTATTTAATATGGTTATGTGGCGTAGTAAGTCAATTTTATAATTAGTTTAGGTGTTGGTAGACCTTAAATTTCCAATTTCCAATTTCACAATCTTTTAAGACAACTCAAGTATTATTGAGGTGGGAGCTTCTACCACATATTAAATTATATAATCCTGGGTGTATCAATTGGAAATGAAAAGGGTCACAGAGTGAAGAGGTTTTTGGCTGTCCGGGTGAAGTGTGCTACTTCGATCAAATTTGTATTCTCAATCTTACTGAGATTCAGTTGATTTATCATTTCAATCAAAATATTGTTAGTTCATTCAAGGACTCTTTTAAACAGTTAAAATATGTATTGATAGAAAAATTCTAAATGGATTCAGATATAAATATTTAAACAGATATTAAAATGATTTGAGACGAATATGAACAATAAAATTCGAAATAAATATGAATACAAATTGTTCAAAATTCAGCGCATACCCTACCTTGTGGAAGAACCAATATATATAAAATATACAATTTTTTTCCATATTTTGCAGGTTATTTTGTTTACATGTTAATAGTTTTTTATACATAAAAATTTTTGAAGAGAAAATTAGTAGGATTTAGAATCTCATAAATTGTTTAACATGAATTAAATATTCGATTATTTAATTATTAATTAAGTAATTAGATAATTATATTTTATGTATTATAGAAATATATTTGAAGTATATATGTATAATGAGATTTGTTTGTGGTTATACCATTGGCAGCTGTAATAAAAATAAAAAAAATAAAATAATTATGTTGATTAATGAAAATTTAGATTTTTTTTTATTTATTAGGAAATCCAATGTTTTAAAATAATACAACAAGCTGCATAATAAGTGATAATTCTTTTCTTAATTCATCAAAATTGACAAAAAATTTATAATTTAGAGTATTTAATCTCAAGACTTTTCATTTCTAAAAAACTAACTAAACCATAATTATTAGAAAATTCGGATTCTTTTCCAACAAAAATATACGTACAGTATTATAACTTTTTTATTATAAGATATCCCTTATATTTAATAAGCAGCGGTTGCGGCAGTATCTAGCCTCTGTAACTTCCAATAAAAACACGCCGCGTGGTACGCGTCTCCAATGTAAAGACGGTGTGTTGGAATTGTATAGTACGAAATACTCTTAAGTACAGCTTGCTTGATTAAGATATTCTGATTTCTGAATTTTTTAATATTATAAAATAAAAAATTAATTATGGTTTTTAAAATATATTTTTAATATTAAAAAATTCATATATAACAAGATATTGCCTGTATGATTGGAGGAACTCATCTAGGACACCTTTCAGTAGGAAACGAATTTTCAGATTTCTTTATTTCTTTATTTATTTTTTGAGCATTAGGACAGAGGATTTTATTATTAGATCATACATCTACGTACCATTAATTTATGTTTTCTATGCATTTATTTATGCTTTTCGGTATTGAGGCAAAGCAGAGTAACGTGTCCCCTCAAAGTAAATTTTTGTTATCCTTATTTTTTTTTATCGAGTGATTCCACTCCTACTAAGTTTGTTAATTGTTAACCTAAATATCTTGAAAAATTACTTCTTGAGTATCGGAATCTAAAAATTGAATTTTATCGATCGATGTAAGTATTCGATCAGTTTAGTTCAATCTAAATTAAATCAGTAAAATATCCAATAAATAAAATTTCTATATAGAAAAAATCAAATTAAATCAAATTATTTATAAAGACAAACCGAATCGATTCATTTTGAGTTTTTAAATTTGATTTACCACGTGTTAAATCATTTTAATTTTTAAAGAGTTACTGAAAATCAAATTGAATCAAACTTTTTTTATTCTAAAGTTGGGTAGATTTTATCAATTATTGCCTAGCCCTAATGCAATGCATAGTAAATTTACTTGCAAAATAAGTCTAACATGACAAGTCAATTTTTTATAAATTAAATTTATTTTTAATTTTCAGTTCAGCAAAACATATTCTATCCAACCTTTTCCAGAAAAGAAAAAACATATTCTATGCAATCAAAAATTTAGGAATTCATAAATAAAAATTAATTGCTTAATAATGGAATAAAGTAGTTGTAATCCTTAGATTCTCTTCTTATTGAATTTAAATTTATAAATAACCATTGAATAGTCTAAGGTTCGGAGCGGTAGTTAGAATATTTGAAGGAGAGTTTTAAATTATGCCCGAATCAACGGAGCAATTGAATGGCCTAAATCAACGGGTTGGTGCATAGAATGAAGGCTGTCAAATTGCTCCTCTCTTTCTTTTAATGACTTCATATTTCGTAAGAAATGCACAACTTTTTATGTAAAAAAGTTAGGCATATAATAATGGTGAACATATAAGAGAGTGACTCCCACAATAGATTTATTAAGGATCAAATGGGAACAAGTGTCTGAAGTTTGTCCTGTTTGCAGGTGTGATGTGGAGACTCTTTTATTTGATGGTTACTTGTCCTTTTGCAAGAGCTTGTTTGGTCTGTGTTAATTAGTGACTATAATGGCTGAGTCCAATTGAAAATATTGCAGACGTTGGCTCCCAATGGACTAGAATTAAAGATAATTTTCTTAAACTAGATATTTAAGCAACAATAAATGTAAATGGGAGGTATGCAGGAATAGGTATGGTGGTTAAAGACCATACAGAAAGTATGATAGTAAGGAATGGTGGGAATATTTAATAGAGTGATTCCCAAAATCGGTTGGGTCAATTTTGATAGATTTTTTCGGTTTGATTTTAAACTCAACTGATGGGTTTTAAAATCGACTCGAATTGAATAAACTGACAACCGAACCAAAATGAGTCGGTTTGCTTTTTGATTCGGTTCAGTTGGTAAGTTTCACACCCCCTGCCCATGAGTGTCTGTCAAACCCACTTGGTTTGGAGGTGATTTGGATTAATGGAATTTAAACATACTATAGATTTGTAGATTCATTTATTTAGTTGAGAAAAAATAACTTAGATTACACATACACGAGACATGAGACACAATACGATAGAGACACGGGACATGTGATATGATACGGTATAGACACATGACTCAGTTTTTAAAATGGTAAGATACCGGGTACGCTACACTAAATAAATATAATTTATTAATAATTCAAATAAGTAAATCATTTTTTCATAAACATAAAATAGAAAAATACCTAATTTCTTATTTCAACATAAATAGTTAAATTCTCAAAATTAACATTATCATTGAACATTATAGCATCTCTGGCTTATTTAGAGATAAAATGATAATTTTAAAAATTCCAGCATCTTTAAAAGAGAAAAGATTAATTCTAATGGTATTCCATATTTTAGTTTGTTCAATAAAATATTGTTAACTCCTTTTTTATAAAACCTCGTAAATTATTGATTTCAAATCAACATTTTGAATTAATTATTGAATTTGATAATTCTACATATATAATAAATTACAAATCATAAATTATTCATAGAGTTTTTCATTCTTTTATATTTATTTTAATTTTATATTTTAAGTATTAATAATTAACTAATATATATTTAAGACAATAATTTAAAAATTTTTGTTAATGAAGTTATCTAAAAGTCTAATAAAATTTTTAATTGCGATTCTAAAGTGTTCAACACACTTAAAGTATTCTCAAAGTGTCTTCCCAATACTTTTGGGAATGTTAGAGAAGTGTCGTTATATTATCTGATTCGAATACATTGAATTTTTTTAAGATATCCGTGTAATTTAAAAATAATCTAAAATATATGGAATCAATAGATTACATCATGACCTGAATTTTATCATTTTTAGAAAGAGTGAAACCCCACCCAGAGGTGGGATGTGATTCCTCACAATTCCATCGTCTTTCCACAAAAAATAACTAATTTATTTCAAAAATACTCTTCATCCTAATTGAATCGGCTATTCCAAAACAAAATATGGGCAAAACTATACAGTATACAGAAATTACTTCCTACCATCAGATTTTATTTAATAAATAATATTCGTTGGATTAACAAATGGCTATGAAATTGGTTACCGGCAACACATGTTAGGACCAAACATACTGAAGTGGTTTTGCCCCACTGCAGTTACAGAACTTGGAGTTGGAGTTGGCAGGCGGCAATCACAGAGCTTTCCAAATAATCTTTGGCAAGTATTCAACCTAAAAAATCAATCACAAGTTTTTAAAGTACACGGTAATTACAAGATTGGTTTGCTTAGATATACCATCGTCCTTTTATACCTTGGTGGAATGCAACTTAATGGGTTTAGAAATTGTACATTAGATAGCTTCTCTTGTAAATCACATTCTATATGCAAGTTCTGCTTTTCATTGCTCCTTTGGTGTTGTGGTGGTGCCCATTCAAGTGGGACCCACACACAAATGAAAAAAAAAACGTGGTATTTGAAAAGTCAAAAGTTGGCAGCCAACAATTCAAAGATTGGCATGCCATTTGACAAAATGAATGCACGGCCCTCTCAATTCGTTTCTCATATCCTGCCTATAAATAGAGGTAGAGGCAGTACGCACAATACACACAGCAGAAAGAGAAAAAATGTAGAAAGAGAGAGTTTATCTAGTTTTAGGAAGGATTTCCTAAAACTAGGGGAGAGAAAAATAGTGAGGAAATTATTATGGAGTGTTTTTTGGGAAACACTTTATGTGCCATTATTTTTGAATTACTCTCTTTGCACGATTTGGCATGCCATTTGGACAAATATGAATGCAGGCCCCTCTCATTTTCGTTTCTCCATATCCTGCCTATAAATAGGAGGTAGAGGCAGTACGCACAAGTACACACCAGCAGAAAGAGGAAAAATGGTAGAGAAGAGGACGAGCTTTATCTCAGTTTTAGGAAGGATTTCCTAAAACTAGGGGGAGGAAAAATAGTGAGCGGAAATTATTTTATCGGAGTGTTTTTTTTGGGAAACACTTTATGTGCCATTATTTTTGAATTACTCTCTTTGGTAACCTACTATTTTTTAATAGTGAAGAATTGATTCCGGAGTTTGTCCCGTGGAGCGTAGCCCTAAACTAATTTGAGGCAGTGAACCATGTAATTTTTGGGCTTGTTTCACCAAGTTTTACTATTTCCGCAGCTGTTTACATTTTTCTCTTAATTGGTTGACAAGGGGCCCAATTTAAGTGGTATTCAGAGGCTTGATGGCCCAACAACTAGTTCAGATGCTGATCCTAACCAAGTGTAATCAGCAGCCGAAGGTTTCGGCAGAGGGTCCAGTCCGGTCATATATAGCCGGTACCGGGATCCGTGGGATTATATTTGAAAATAAATTATTACCCACGAATTTTGAAGAGAATAAATTTACAAACCAGCATTGGTGTTTGTCCGCTCGGAAAACCGTTAACAGAATCGCACTTAGTGGAATAGTAAAAATTAGTAACTCGCGGTTGATGGTTGAATAGTTTACTATCTGGCGTCTAACTGTTGGCTGAGGCCGTCACTGTTAAGCGGGCCCAGGCCAACTATTACGGTTATAGTTACCTATTCTACCGCAATACAGGTACTATTCACGATTACTAACTGTTTCACGTTATATGGTTTTATGGTTGGTGAATTGACGTATTTTTGCACAAAGTTCCAAAATGGACAACGCAAAATGATCAGTCTACATGGCGGGAATTTTACCATTATATAGATAAAATGAGAGGAACCCTCTCCTATGGTTTTAATCAAGAATGCATTTACCGTGGTTTTTAGTGTTTGTGAACCAAAACCGGAAGACAAGACTGATGAAGGAATGTGTTTTTTCGACGCATGCGTCCAAATCTTTGGTCTGTAGATTTGATTGATTTAGAAAAGTTTCTGTTGGGTAGCACCTTCAGGAAATGGTCAGTGAAAGCTCACAAAAAGGGTTTCATTAGTGGGAAGCTCCACAAAAGGTCATTTGTGGTAGGGCTACAGACCGGAAAAATAGATCTGCAGGTGGTGTTCTATGTGTCGAAAGTCTTCCCGACAAGAGGAGGTCGGGCGATCGGACAAATCATCGTCCTTGTGGTCCCGCAGAGTTGTAGCGGCGCTACTAGGCGATGTGTGTTTGGCAGAATCTAAAGATTCATCACTGGAAAAGATAATATTAGGACTGGGTTGAAATGAATTTTCCAAGGATATCCCAATTGACATTTGCCCTAAGGGGAGCCGTGTCGTGGGCAGTCAAGATTACTGGAAGGCGTTGCCAAGAGTTGTTGTTGTAACAAACAGAACCAAGACCAGAAAAAAGGATCTGGCACGGGTGGTTTGCCTTGTGTCGGAAGAAGTCTTCTCGACAAACAGTAGGTCGCGGCGGGCGTGTCCCGCAAAGTTGTAGCCGGCCAGGTACCCCAAAGATGGGTGGCAGATTTAATAGAATTCATAGCTGTAGGGGGAAGGGATGATGGCTAACGTCTCCACTTTGAGTTTGCAGGGGGAGATGTGTGTTGTTGGTTGGGCCCCCACTTCCAACGGTGGGTACCCACACACCCAAATTGAAAAAGAAAAAAAAAACCGTGGGTATTTTTGAAAAGAGTCAAAAGTTTGTGCTAGCCCATCGTCCATTTTTGACAAAACGGCACGGCTCTCTTCAATTTCGTCTTTCTCCATATCCCTGCTTATTAAATCAGTGGCATGAGGCAGTTCCCCGCACAATACACACTTGCTAGAAACGAGGACGAAAAATTGTAGAAAGAGAGAGTTTATCTAGCTTTTTAGGAAGGGTTTTCCTTAATAAATTAGGCGGGAGAGAAAAATGAGTTAAGAAAATATTATTGGGGTGTTTTTTGGGAATACACTTTATGTGCCCAGTTATTTTGAATTAACTTCTCTTTTGGGTGTGCCTACTATTTTTTGAATAGTGGAAAGAATGATTCGGGAGTTTGTCCCCAGCTGGATGTAGGCCCTAAACAGTTGAGGGAAGTTTAAAACCACTAATTTCTGTGATTACTCTCTTTGTGTGCCTACTATTTTTAATAGTGGAAGAATGATTCGGAGTTTGTCCCGTGGATGTAGCCCTAAACAGTTGAGGGTAAACCACGTAATTTCTGTGTGTCACAAGTTTACTATTCCGCTCGTTATTTTTCTCTTAATTGGTTGAAAGTGCCCAATAAGTGGTATCAGAACTGATGCCCAATAACTGGTATTAGAGCTGATTCCTAACACTTGGTACCTTTATGGATATTGCCTATTGCACTACCAATGCAGAAACTCACTAATCCATATAGTAGTAAAAGCCACAAAATATATACGCAGGCACTACTTTTGCTATTCTAAAACAAAAGCTCTCTAATCTTCTACCAAAAATAACCTTCTCCATCATCATTGGGCGATTCGTTGTTCAACAATTGTAATCTCTGATAGAATATTTTTTCCAGCCATTATGTCTTTCTTTATGGCCTAATAATATAAATATATTTACACATGCACAAATAAGAAAATAAGAGAAACGGAAGAAAAAGCTTCATATGCTCTAAGGGTGTAAGTGACATTTAACTACAAAATCCATGGAATTTTAACAATTCAATCAAACAAAAATCATTAAAACATGTAACATAAATTTATGGATTATTTTTTTTAATCAAAAGATTGAATTGTAAAATTCTATGAATTTTAAAATCCCTAAATTTTGCAAAATCTATGCCGAGCTCTTAATTTATTTGTTAAAAAATAATCAGTAAAATAAAGTTTTATTTTTAGAATATCTATTATGGGTAATGAACCCATGACATGATGAATACCAGATTGTTAATTAGCTATTAAAACATTCAAATTGTTATAGTAAAAATTAATTTAATAGTGTATAAAAGTTAGATTTTCGTATTGCTGATTATTATGATATTGTAACTATAATTTATTTAGTATTTATTGATTTTTTTATTCATTTAAAGGTGCAATGAACTGCAGTTGGCTACACAACAAAACTTACAAAATTTATGAAAACTCTTGTGGCCGAAACAACTCAAATTCGAGATCTCTGGCTTTCTATATTTTTATATAAACTAAGAATACCAATTAAACCAAACTTAATTAATAATAAATTTTATTAATCTTATTCTATTTTAATTCACATATGTGATTTGATATAATTTAATTAAATTATGGTTCTGCATGTAATCGTTGGCTCTTTATTTTTATTGATGACTAGATCAAAAAAAAATTTTTTTAAAAGAAGCTCGTTCAGCCCATATTATTTGAATAAAAAACCAGAACATCATATAATAATAAAGGAAGGGTATATCTCCATTTGAAATCAGCGGTAAAAACAACTGCTCTAGCTATCGATGACTAGATGGAAATTGAAAGCTTTAGTGATTACTCAATTATTAAATCATTTCAAATGATTACTTATTTAAAATTAACACTTTAATTATATCTTTATATTTTGAAATTAATAATTTTTTATTAAATCATTTTAAAATTATCTTCAAGCTACACTGTGAGATTGAGGTTTCTAACGCAAAAGTTTAAACTCCTTGAAGTGTAAATTGAATATAATATAGAATTATGATATGATTTAGTTAATTAAAAAGTTTCACCAATCATGTTATTAGAAAAATGAAATTTTGACTAATTTTTTTGCATAAATGGGAAGTGAAAAATTTTATAAATGCGAGTGATTTTATAAATTTTATAAATTAATTTCCAATGTTTGATCTTTATAAGGAGGTGGCATGAGCAGAATTAGGCGTCTCAAACCAATTTAGCATGACCAGAATTAGGCTTTAACTGTCTCAAACCAATTTAACAAATATCTAACTTCATCAAATGATCCTAAGATTTTCTAACGATTCTCTGTTTTTTGCATTCATTAGTCATTCATCCATACATTTTTTACGTAACAAACAGAGAAATCTTAGGATCTTAAAAAGGTGCTTTCAAAAATCTCCATTTCAACCTTTTCAATTACTCACAATGCCACGAGACAATACTGCGAGCAAACATATTGCAGTGCTTGCATTTCCATTCGCCACCCATGCAGCGCCACTCCTCAGCCTCATTCGTAGGCTATCTGCGGCGGCTCCGGTCGCCAAATTTTCTTTCTTTAGCACCGCACAATCGAACAGCATGATATCCAATGAAAATGAGAGGTGCGAAGCTATAAAACATTATAATGTGGCGGATGGGACACCGGAAAACTACGTGTTTTCTGGTAATCCAGGGGAGCCGGTGGAGAATTTTATTAAGGCGACCCCAGGGAATTTTAAGACTGCTATGGCGGAGGTCCTGAAAGATACTGGAAAGGGATTTAGTTGCATTATTACTGATGCATTTTTTTGGTTTGCAGCGGATATGGTGGCGGAATTGCATGTTCCTTGGGTGGCGGTTTGGACCGCCGGTCCACTCCCCGTCCTCCTGCATATTGAAACGGATCTAATCCGAGAAAAATTGGGAATTGAAGAACTTGGATTTAATGGTAAGTTTTGTTAGTTTATTCATTTTGCTTTCTCCTTCCATTAAGTGCCAAATCTCTGTCCATCTCTGTCCACTGCAGGACTTGAAGGAAAAACAGTCGATTTCTTTCCCGGAATTTCTGCAATACCGGCAATTCACTTGCAGCCGGAATTGACCCCAAAAGAGATAAAAGAAGATATGCAAAAAATGTTATACAAAATGGGATTAATGTTACCACTAGCAACGGCACTTGTTATAAACGCATTCGAAGAAATGGATACTTCTGTCACAAAAGCACTAAAGTCAAGAATTGAAAAGGTTTTAAATATTGGTCCCCTTGTCTTAACATTACCAGATCAGGTGAATTCTGATTCATATAACTGCCTAGAATGGTTAACCAACCAAAAACAAGATTCAGTTGTGTACATTAGTTTCGGAAGTGTAGTAACACCACCACCTCATGAACTAGCAGCATTAGCAGAAGCGTTAGAGGCGTACGACTGTCCATTTATTTGGTCGTTTAGAGGCAATCCGGATGAGAAGTTGCCGAAAGGGTTCCTAGAAAGGACTAAAGAGAAGGGGAAAGTAGTTCCCTGGGCTCCCCAATTACAAATCTTGCAGCACAGTTCAACCGGAGCTTTTATAACGCATTCTGGATGGAATTCATTTCTGGAAAGTGTTGTCGCAGGCGTGCCTATGATATGCAGGGCGTTCTTCGGGGATCAGATTTTGAATCGGTGGGCGATTGAAAATATATGGGAGGTCGGAGTCGGGATTGAAGGTGGGAAGATCAGTAAGGATGGCACAATGAAAGCGTTACAGCTTGTTTTGTCAAGCCAGCAAGGGAAAAATATGAGACAGAGACTTGATGCTCTCAAAAAAAATGCTTTTGAGGCTGTGCGACCACATGGTAGCTCTACTGCAAATTTCACAACTTTGGTAGAGATAGTCACCCAGTAAACATTTACAAATTACTGACATTCTTTTAGTTTTGGTAATGGGTTTGATTGATTATAGTTAATGAGTTAATAATTCCACGGAAAAGGAAGAGGTAGATATAAATTTTTTTAATTAATGTTAATGCAAGCTTTACCAGTTCCCCCATGTGACTAGCAAACTGGATTAACTGCAAACCCTGATAATTGCAGATAATTTGAATTATACGAAAAATTCATGATGAGTATTTAACAAAAGCAGCTAAAAATTAATATAAACTGCAAAATTTTGATCTAATTTAATTTTGATTCTCGATCTGCAAATTCTGATTTATTGATAAAAGTATAAAGCTTTTTTTTTTCTTTTTCAAAATTTGATTATCGTTTTTTTATTATTTTTTAGTTACTGTTTGTGTTTAATTTGAGTTCTAATATAATGCAATATGACAACCTGATCGTTTATGTTTTCTGGGTATTTGTTAAACAGCAGGACACTTCAAAGGGAAATGTGAAAGAAAAATTGAGTGGGTTTAAACATGCAGTATTATGAGGGGTATTTTTGTCTTTCTAATATAAATTAACGGCGGAAACTTAAACATTTAACGTCTAACAGAACCATAGCTTAAAGACGGAATAATATATTTGATTGACCAATTTATAAGATCGTAGCAATAATTTTCCCTTCAAACTTCAATGCAATACCAGGAAATGACAGAAAAATACAATAAAATTTCAGCAAAAGAAAATTGCATCAAGTTCAAAGACATAAAAAGTAAACTCAAACTGAAGGACTATAATCCGATTTCTCAAATATCCGTCAGTAACAAAGCAAAACTCAGTAACAAAGCAAAACTCAGAAACACAGCGATGATCGATTGGATTTACAATAAGTGAAAGTACCAGAAGGTACGAGATAGAGAAAGATCGACCTAAGAACTTGCATTTGACTAAAAAACAAATCAAGAAGCACTCACAACGCCTTGGCCCCCTTCACAATATCATCTTTAATTGCTCTTTGAATCCATTTCACGATAAGCCACTGCAACATAAAACATGAGCATAAAACAATGATACTGTGCACCACTTCAATTTCAATCACAAAAACAGAACTACAGTTATGGAACCCAAGAACCTTATACCTGAATCCCAAGAATGACAGGGATCAACACCTTCCCCCTTTCATTTGACTCAGATCCATCTATCAACTTCTTGTCAACTACAATGGATTTATTCCCATTTGTAGCAACCCCAATAATTTCTTTTACCAAGCTTGCAATCCAAGCCTCACCATTTGGGAGAATCTGTAATAATTTAAAAAAAAAAAAAAAAAAAATACAAGCAATTGCAGTTAAACAAGTCAAAAAATGGCGGCCCTATGCATGAGGCTCCTGAAAACTATTAATGCATTTAAACAAATAAATGGTAACAAATTCAGAGCATAGAGAAAAACCTTTTCATCATTCTCATTTTTATTGCATCTCCCACTGTTCTCGACCAAACCAACGGGAATAGCACAGTCCTAGAAGCATCGAAACCAAGTAAACAATTATTGGAGGAATGTTCAGTACAGAACAAAAGAATCATATGAATAATTATTATTTCTAATTACACAAGCATATCATAATGATGGATGCATATGTTTCATTTTTGCAATTGATTTTTATGTTTGATTATGAGCTACCAATTTTTCCATAAAGATTGCAGTCCATCTATGAACCAAAATATAGGTTCAGCTGCTATTGATAGTTCCCAAAAAACCCTACACTGATTCATCAATCCACATCTGCAATGCAATGCAATATGCATTTTATCAAGAACAGCATTCCATGAATCAGTTCCCAAAAGTAGATACTGTAAGGCCACTCAATTGCAATATTTCAGCCAAATTCTCAACCAAGTAACAAGACCTTTTCTAATTGATGTTAAATGTTCACAAGTATTAATATTACAGTCATTATAGACTTCAAAGAAGGAAATCAAAACTATCTGAGAAAAGGTTATCTTTTCTCCTTTCACTAACAAGATATGCCTTAAAACCCTTCAGCAAAAGTAAAGGAAAACACAGCCAACCCACTCCTATCAGATCTGCCTTCTCACATCCAGAATTGCATTCCATGTTCCCAACTCTAATGCTAATTGAAAGATTTTTAAAAATGCATATAATAGAAAAATAAAAAGATTTTACACAATTCATGACATTCTGTAGAAACTTTAAATACATGAAGGACAGAGAAATTTGCAAACATCCATCACATATTCAACCATTTTTTTTAAGGGATAATTATCAAGTAGTCTCTAAGCTTGGTTAATTTTTCTATTGTCTCAGTTTATCTTTTTATCAATCAAGTGCCAAAATTGATAAATTCTTTAGGGAAAATTATTTTTTATCTCTGTATTTTGCCATAATATACAACGTTGCCCCTGCATTTGTAGACATACATAGTTTTGTCCCTATCTTTTGTTTCCGTTACACTGTCATATCCTTCTGTCAATTTTTTTGTACTTTTTTCATCAGTAAATTATTATTTTGTCCCTATATTTTTTTAAAATTATTAACTAATCTATCCTTGTATTTATTAACTAGTTTGTCCCTGCCAAAATTAACTAATCTATCTCAGTACTTTAACGGAAAAAAGTACAAAAGTTAATAGAATGATATAATAATATAACGGAGACAAAAGATAGAGACAAAACTATATATTTCTAACATTGCAAGGGCAAAGTCATATATTTGACAAAATATAAGGATAAAATAGTATTTTTTTCCCAATTTTTACAATTAAATACACTTGCCTGGAATTTCTTGCCAGAATATCTAAATGAACTATTTACCTCATTTTTTCATTCATTTCTCTAGATTGTCTCATTTTCTTTCTTCATTTCATTCTCTCTTTGATTTTATTTTGGAATATAATGAAAATTATAAGGAAGTTTTGAGGTTTATTTTTTATAAAAGAGGGATACAAGACAATGAATGAAAAAAAGAAAGATGAATGAAATTGATATTTACGTGTGCTGTCATTTATTGAGTAAAATTGTAATTCGTTGGCAAAAAAATTCCAGCTAAATGCATTTAATTGAAAAAATTTGTCTGCTTAGACACTCAATTGTGAGAAATAAAGTTCGTATGATAACATAGAAAACTAGCAAAGTTCAAGCACCAACTTGTTCTACAGATAGTGAAGATGACCACCCTGTTTACTGTATACAATTCTAACATACAAAAATTACATATATTTTCACAAACCAAGGTATCACAATCTTCAAGTTTTTTATAAATCAAATCATAAACATAAGATCGCTCACTAGTCAAGCAGTCCAATATTTTGGCTCTAATAGCGCCTCAGGAGAAGCTAGGAAGAGAAAACCTGAATCGTTAACTTCACATTTATATGAGCATATATTATGGTCAGGTCTTGTCCTTTATTGATCCTAATGTGCAGAAATTAGCATTTAAATGTTTATGTTGGGTGGAGGGATACATCTTAGTAGGAAATTGTCAACAAGAACATGCAGCAAATATGCATTTTTCATTTGCAAAGAATTTAGCGTATGATGTATGTCCATATCACAAATTGATGTCGCTGCCTACTTAATTCAAAGCATAATGAAACAAAAATAGCTTTATATATGTATATAAAGAAGGAAAATGAACCTCAAAGTCTCGTTTCCTCATTCGTGATCCTGCACGAATAGTCTTTAAGACAGCCTCAGATCTTCTAGCCAAAAAAACATCGTAAACAAGATCATCTGGTGGGCAGAGCTGTGCATGGGTGAGGACAAGCAAACTTTTACGCCATATTTCTTTTCCAAAACTATCAGAGATAGCACTTATTATTTGCTTATCCAAGTCATCTACTCTATATGCATCCAAGCGGTCAACATAGAGCAGAACATCAATAGTCTTGTTCAAAAGTAACCTGCATTAATAGCAGCATACACAATTACGTTCAAACTATGCTAAGTCATAACCAGAACTTAATCCAGAAAGTCAAAAAGTTTGCTAGGCATTGAACTTGAAACATTTCATTCAAGCAGTACCAACCGTTTAATCAACTCCAAAGCTTGGTAACTAACATAGCCACCCTCAACAAGGCCTGGAGTGTCTATAATGTTTAATGTGAATCCCGCCCGAGTTCGTGAAACCATTACAGGTCTTGATATCTCTGCCTGCAGTGCAGACAATGTGTTTATAACATAAGCTATAAAGACAGGTAACGGCCATTGGCCCTTCAATTCACGGAAAATACTGATTCTGATAAGCAAAAACATACCGAGAAGGAATTCACGTTAACCACTCGTTCCCCAATGAGAGAATTGACAGTGGAAGATTTTCCAACTCCGCCTTTGCCCATAACAAGAATGGTCAAAGTACTAACACCCTGCAATCATCTAATATCAGAAGCAGATAAACAACTGGAAATGGATATTTGAAAATACAAAATGAACAATTTAAATTAACCTCTTCCTTTAATTTGCCAAACAATTCAACCAATTTGCTTTGCGTAGCAGCAGGGAACTGCTGGAACCCGACCCACTCACGAATTGCAGACCCCATTGATTCCTGAAAACGGAATAATTAAGCTAAATGAAAAGCTTAAGCACTCAATCGCTACCCAATGGAACAGATTAAATAACGAAAAATGTAGCAATTTCAGAGGCAAAAGTGAGCAGCAGCTGAAATCCAATAAGTGAAGAACAAAATACTCATTTACCATAAAACCCTAAACCCTAGAGATTATTGAAAGTTGAAAGAAATTTAAATGTGGAAAAGCAAATTAATTGATGGGTTATTGTGCTAGAGACAGAGGAAGAATTGCACAAACCTCTTTCTCCTCAACTGCGCAGAATGCAAAGCAAAGAGAGGGGATTTGGTTTTTGCCGCTGCTTCAACTGATGACCTTGTCAAATCGGAGATTTTGTTGTTATGTCGGTATCTGAATTTTGGTAAGGACGTATAACGACATGTCGTTCTGATAATTAATATAGAATCTCGTTATTTCTTCTCTTTTATTTCCTTTTCTTTAACGTATTAATATACCAAATTAAATAATCTAAATAACTCAGGATCTCCTTTTCCACGAGAGTATCTGTCATATTTGAAAAAATATTTTATTCAAAAATATTTATCGTACTTGTGGTTTCAATGAGTAATAATTTTTTTCCATTTTTATCCTTTGTAATGTGTTCCCAAAATATTTCCACTACTATAATTAGACAAAATATGAGAATTGAAAGGTCTTAAATTTTAATTTGGTGTTTGGATATATTAAATTAAGAGTAATATAGTCAATTTATTAAATAATTTATTATAACATAGATAAATTTAATGATTTTTTAAGTAATTTGAAATTTCAAATGTGATAAGTACTCTTTCTATCCCAAAATATTAATCATTTAAGGTATTGCAGAAGGATGAAGAAAGCAATTAACTCTCCTGGTTTTGCATAAGGTAACATTAGAAAAACATTATTTATTACTTTTTGAAATACTCAAAACGACTTATATTTTGGATAAAACAATCACCTAAAAACGATTTATATTTTGAGACAGAGGAAGTATTATGGAATAGATGTAGTAACTTGTATTCCATAATACTTGTTACATTTGAAATTTGGTCATATACAAAGGATAAACATGAAAAAAAATATTTATTACTCCTTGAAACTACGAATATTATAGATATTTTAGAATAAATCGTTTGCTCAAATATGATAAGTATTATGGAAAAAAAGCAGTAGATGCAATGAACCTTTTTTTTTTCTTTCTTGGATAGATATGTGGCATTAAATATGAGTTTTTTTACATTCAAGAGATAATTTTTGGGATTAATAGCCATAAATTGCTCATGGATATCATAACTCTTTGTAATTATGGCTATTTTAACTTTCCTTAAATGAAAAATCGATCCCAAAAAAATTATTAAAAAAAAATACTCCCTCCATTCTATATATATAGACTCACTTTTCTTTTTCGTCTGTCCCAAAATATAGTTCTATTTTTTTTATAACATCATTTATTATCTAATTTCTTAACATACCCCTGTTTAATATATATATATACATTCCCAATTGATATTCATCATTTAATATTATAAAGAGATATCTTGGGAAAAAACTAAACAAAAGAGATAATTCAACCATATTAATTAATTTTTCTTAATCAATGTGAAAGTCAAATGAGGTTTATACATATGGGACGGAGGGAGTAACTAGTTTCCTTGCTTCTCAAATAAGCAATTTTTACTTTTTAGGCCAATGCATGTACTAGATAACTAAAACATATGATTTCAACTGTCAACAACAATCTTAACAGGACACCGAGCCCAGTAGTCTTAGAAGATTTACAATTTGATCGTACGGACAAAATCAACGAGAAACTCGACTCTTCTGAATATAAAGCAGGATGATAGATGGATGGATCTATGTTTCTATTCATATATTACATATTAATGAAAAAAAAAAATTTATATAGGTAATGCCACATCTAATCAAGAGAAAATCTTCAAGTCTTCTTGCTGGCAGATTCGTGAAAAGAGAGGATTCGATGAACTGAGCACTTCCAAGAAGCTTCCCCGCTTTGCTCTTCTAAGTCCCTTCGCAGGAAACCGAATAGGAAGCACATGAGTGCAATTTTCCAAATAGGAAGATATGACATGCGAGTAGTTTATTTGGAATTTTCCTCTATGTTTGTTTAGATTTTGGGCCGGCGCCACCAAAATTGATCGCACCTTTTCCACACAAAATTACAAACCACTTTTTCATCACCAGTCAATTGAACGAAGTCACACAGTCCAAATTCATCTTGATTTACTCTACGCAATGCATGCGAGGCATCAGCAGGTGATCCTGATATTACCGTTAAATAATAAAAATAAAAAATAAAAAACAACTTATATGATCAAATAATTGCCTACTTCGGCGATTTATTTCCTTTAGACACATAATTTGGCTTGCATTAGAAAATGTTTATTAGGAAATTATTTAATTAATTGTTGTATGTTACTGTCCATCTAATTGTATATGTCTCTTTCTATATTATCATTTTTATTTTCAATTTAGAAATTAATTATCGTGTCATTGTACCATATAATGCTTATTACCTATATAGACACCACCCTAATATCAAAAAAAAAAAAAAAAGATTTTTATTTTCAAATTTAAGAAAATTAATTATCGTGTCATTGTACCAATAAATAATGCTATTACCTATATAGACACACCCTAAATATCAAAAAAAAAAAAAAAACGCTTATCACCCATTCAAAAAAAAAAAAAAAAAGCGCTTATCACCTATATGTCTTTTGCTTTCTTTGATGGGGTGTATGGCTCAAATATGGATCCAATCAATGAAAATGAAAAATTTTTAATAGTTCAATTTTTTATTTTTTTTTCTAGTAAATTGTCATAAATGCCCTCGTTTTAACATATTTTTTTATTGATTTAGTTGATAAGCGAATTCATAAACCCTGTTTAAACAAGTTAATCACTTATTTTTTATTCTTCTCACCTATTTGAAATGTGAATCTATATATATAATATTCTTTATACTAATTTGTTTTGTCTTGTTGATGATTTATTGGACCTCCAATTTATTCATTATGGCAATGACAAATAAACTTATTTGTCTGAACTGAAATTTGCAAGTTAAATTTTGTTTGAATGAAAAAAAAGCTTCTTTTAAGAGATGATTGAATACGAGTTGATGGAATAAGTTATACAACTTACTGGATGACAAGACAAAATTCCCTACAATTATAAAATGATACTACATACTATTTCTTAATCATTCAACGATCAACTCTTAATACTATTTCTTAATTATTCAGCTTAGTAAGTTGTTAATTCAGATCAATTCAAATAAACGAATTCTAATCAAAATATTGATGTTGAAGAACAAAAACTAAGTCTTGAATCACAATTAATATCTCAAGCAAGAATATTAGAAGCTGGAAACAGATTTACCAAAAATGAGATTATCCAAGAAGTAAAGAGGCAGTTTATGCTAGCAGCATCTCTTGTATCAGTTAATTTCTTGCCTGATCTTTTACAGGTCATTTCATCAATGTTTGTGGGGCCATCTTGGAGAGCTAGCTCTGTCTGGTGCTATATATATATATATATATATATATATATATATATATATATATTAATATAAAGGATAATCATTGAATTTTTATTGGAAAATGTTGACATATTTTGAAGAAGGGGGACCTTCATAAAGATTTGATTATTTGTATTTTAACTAATTTGAGAAAAAATTGTAGTTTTTGAAAAAAAAAAAATATTTTTCATTAAAATTTCTCTCTCTAATTTTAAGTTTTTTGAATGAGAGAGTTTTAAAATATAATGACTTAAAGGATAATCATTGATTTTTATTGGATGTTGACATATTTGAAGAGGGGGACTTCATAAGATTTGATTATTTGTATTTAACTAATTTGAGAAAAAATTGTAAGTTTTTGAAAAAAAAAAAATATTTTTCATTAAAATTTCTCTCTCTAATTTATAGTTTTGATGAGAGAGTTTTAAATATAATGACTTTTGTTTTTTTTTTCTTATTAATTTTGTATGAGTTTGTCGAGCGTTGCATTATTTCAAACATTTCATGATGTGTGTTTTGAATTTAACATGATCATCTTTTAATAATATATATAAATTGGCTGAGAAAATGCTAAGCATTAGCTAATTTATTAGAGTCCCCAAATTAGAAATTTAGATATTTCAAATGAATTTCTTAGCATTTTTTTTCAGCTATTTGATTACCGCCTACATGGTTGTTCTCAAACATTGATCAATCATGTAAATAGAAGCGTTCATTATATATTTTGTACTTATTATGTCAATTTTTTTATTCAAAATAACCAAATGTGCTTTCTTAAATTAAAGCACTTTCTCTTCTAAATGATGATATGTTTATAAATTGGCCTAAAAAAATATTTTATAAAACCAAAAATAAAAACAAATAATATAAATATGGACAAAAAATATATTCCTAAAAATATATCAGATATGAATTGCAATACAAAATAATAGTTTTTATATATTTATATATGCATTTTTTATACTTCAAATTATTACTCCAAGGGAATAAATATTTTCACTAATTTTCCCATCAATATTTCGTGTTTATAAAGTAATATACTTTTTCTATTGATTTTTGGTCACATGTAAATACTATATTAATATTCTTTTTCCTTTCAAGTTTATTATATGAATAATTCACTTATTATATCACAAAAATAAATATATTAAATAGTGGCGCAAAGCGCGGAGCGTAGTTAATAAATAATGTTAGGACAAAAACGTTAATTTAAGATTTTATTGAATGTTTCAAAAGGTCATTTAAGATACTATTATTTTATTAAACGTTAATTTTACAATAGCAAGATATGAATAGTTTATTTGTATTAATAAGATGATAGGTTCTGTCCACATTGCCAGCACATTTTGCATACAAACTTAAATAATGAAGTCTCATCTCCTGCTCCAAATTCATCTTAATGCATGTGAGGAGTCGATGAGGCTAAATAATAAAATAACAGACCTTTGATAAAGACAGAGCCTTAATTTCTTCCGATATTATTTTTTTTCTAATAAATTTCTAAATTTTTTAATTAAATTTGGTCTTTTCTAATAAACTGTATGTTAAAGTGAATCTGTGAGACGACAGACAGTCGACAGATAATATGCTTTTTTCCCTATTTGCAAATTTTCTATTTTAGCATTTAGATAATTAATTTCCACGTTTTTTCCTTATATTTTTTAGATTGACTTATCTAGACCTGTCTATATTCTATTCGTAATCAGAACTAATCAATCTACTTAGTCTCCCAATGACTTTTTGTTTAATCTGAGATATTATGTATGTCTTTTTCTGTTTTATTATTTTTGTTTTTTTTTTTTTTTTTTGAGTTTAGTAGTACTTCTAATATGTTCAATGTCCTATCACACATTCTTTTTTTGTGGGGTCTTTAGTTTTATTTTCTTCGAGATTCTCAAATCCACCTTTGAAATGCGAGAAACATAATAACTATAGTAATATCTCAGGCCTTTCTATAATATCTTCTCACCTATTATTTCTTCCAATAGTCTTTTTGCCTTAGTCAAGTTAGGCTTGGCATCAAAACATGGATGCAGGAGAACAAAAACTAAGTCTTGAATCACCATTGATATCTCAACCAAGAATATCAGAATCAAGAAACGGATTTACCAAAGATGTGATTATCCAAGAATTGAAGAAGCAGCTTATCTTAGCAGGACCTCTTATATCAGTTAATTTCTTGACTTATCTTTTACAGGTCATTTCAGTCATGTTTGTTGGCCATCTTGGAGAGCTTGCTCTTTCTAGTGCTTCAATGGCAACTTCTTTTGCTTCAGTCACTGGCTTCAGCTTATTGGTAAATATTGTTTTCAAATGGATTTATTTGTGAGTGTTGAACTTAATAACATATTTGATTATATATAATTGTTCTGCTATTAATTGGATGATACTAGCTACTGTTTGTTTTATATGATCTACAAGCTAATTCCACTTTACATCAGCAATAATTCATCCCAACAAATTGGCTATTGAAACAATAGTGGTTGTCTTCCATTATTGTCAAATGGGTTCCACCAAATTTTGGACTGAAATCAAGTACTCCATTTGGAGCCTGTTTCCCTCCATGCCATGCCATATTGCTATGGTGGTTAGTGAAATGAAAAAAAGTTAAATGTGACTGCAATTTTTTTATAACTTTCTTGAAACTTCCATGGGATTTTCTTTAAAATTATTTGGAGAGATATTTTCACTGATGGTAATTGAAACTTGGCGTCCTTGTACACTTACTTTGAGACTGTCTTTGTGATAGTAAGTAATCATCGTTTTCAAAGCTTATCTTTTCTCAGTGTTAAGCTTCTCAATGACTTATCTGTTTATGATGAACAGAAAGGAATGGGAAGTGCGCTAGAAACATTCTGCGGTCAATCATATGGAGCAAAGCAACACCACATGTTAGGAATACACTTGCAAAGAGCAGTAATTGTTCTTCTACTAGCAAGCATTCCCCTTGCAGTTATATGGGCAAATGCGGGTGGGATTCTTCTCTTCTTCAAACAAGATCCAGAAATATCAGCTGAGGCTGGACGTTACGCTCGTTTCATGATTCCTAGTATTTTTGGTTTTGCCATCCAAGAATGTCTTGTCAGATTCTTGCAAACCCAAAACAATGTGATTCCAATGATGATTACTTCAGGAATTACAACTTTACTTCACATTTTCACTTGTTGGGTTTTGGTTTTTAAGTCTGGACTTGGAAATAAAGGTGCTGCATTGGCAAATGTGATCTCTTACTGGATTAATGCAGCGTTATTAATGCTTTATGTTAAGATATCTCCTTCCTGCAAGAAAACGTGGACTGGTTTCTCAAAGGAGGCGTTACATGGGATTCCTAATTTCCTCAAATTAGCAGTTCCTTCAGCTGTAATGCTAAGGTGCATGTTGTTAATTTATGTTAAGATATCTCCTTCCTTCAGCTTTTTTCAATTTATTTGGGTTTGATTTATATCATTCTTATAATTAATTCCTATCTTGAATAGTTTGGAGATTTGGTCATTTGAAATGATGGTTCTATTATCTGGACTTCTTCCCAATCCAAAACTTGAAACTTCTGTTCTATCCATCAGGTTAGACCTACTCATAAAATTCTTTTGTGCTATAGAATTAATATAGAGAATATTATGAAATTATAATCTCAGCCAATAATTGTGCTATTTTTGTTACCAGCCTTAACACATGTGCTATGATTTATATGATACCCCTTGGACTCAGTGGAGCTATAAGGTGAGTTAATTTGGAATGTATTGAATTATATATATGTAACAATGATATATATCAGGTTTTTTTTCCAACTTTGTTTTCTTTCCATGTCCTTAGTACAAGAGTATCTAACGAACTGGGCGCTGGACAACCACAAGCAGCTCGTCTTGCAGGATGTGTAGTGATATTCATGGTTGCCACAGAAGGCATTTTGGCAGCTTCAATTTTGATTCTGGGCCGTAATGTTTGGGGATACTTATACAGCACAGAAACAAGAGTTGTTAAATACGTAGGAGACTTGCTGGTATTTATTGCAGCATCTCATTTTGTTGATGGCATTCAATCTGTGCTTTCAGGTACTTCTTAAGGAAAAAAATTGAATTTTCTCTTTCCAATTTGTTACATTAAACATGGACATTAATAATTTCAGGCATAGCTAGAGGATGTGGATGGCAAAAACTTGGAGCTATAATAAATCTTGGAGCTTACTATCTTATAGGCATTCCTTGTTCTGTACTATTAGCTTTTGCGTACCACTTTGGAGGAAAGGTAATAGTTTCACATCTTATTTTTCTTTCCCCTTTTTAACTATTCTGAAATGAAATATCACATCAAAATTTGGTCTGCAGGGGCTTTGGACGGGACTTATAGTTGCATTGATTGTCCAAGCAATTGGTCTATTGGCAGTAACTTTGTGCACTGATTGGGATAAAGAAGTAAGTTTGAATTTTTCTTTTTAAACTTTGAATTTTTTATTTGATTTTGGATCTCATGGGTTGTTCTTTTGTAGTCAAAGAAGGCCACTGATAGAGTCTACAATAGCAGCATCATTCGTGAAGATCAAGAATATTAATGATCTATTGAAATTTCCACCACCGCCGCCGCCGCCATCTTCTAGGATATTAATAATACTAGCTAGTAATTAAAAACGCTATAATTATTTTTTATGAGTTTTTTTTTTTTTTGAGAAGAATATTTGAATGATTTGAAATATGTTGAATTAGGGTATTGAGTCTCAACTTCATTAATTACTAGGACCGGAAGCGGGACATGTGTTCACGAATTTAAACTACCCGTATCCGTTTCCGTTCTAAATCCGTTTAAATGCACATTTAAGTATCCAATATTCGAACCCGTTTTAATTTTTATTACTCGTACCCATCCAAAACTCGTTTAAAACACCCTTAAATGTATAGAGTACCCGCAAATTTTCAATTATCCAAATTTGAATTTATTTAAAATATATTTTTTACTTACAATGGATATGGCACACACGGATACCTACTACTAAACCCGTTTAATACAATGGGTAATGTGTATCCAAAGATCAATACCCGTATACAAGCAGTAATTTCACTACTCATACCCATTCCAAACTCATTTATAACTATTTAAACAGATCAGAATAGAGCGGATACCCTGAAACACTCGTATAGTTTCCATTCCTAGTAATGACTATTAAGTTTGAAAAATTAAATTTGAAATGTTTAAGGAATGTAGGAAGGTAAAAAAAAAAAAAAATCAAATTGCAAGTAAAAATATTAAAAGGAAATTAAATTTCAAAGGTTTAATAAGGCAAAATTTTCTCGAGCAAGGAAAAATGAAATGCTACGTTTTGTTCCCCTTTATTAAACAATCCATGTAATAATGATTAAACAAACAGAATAAAAGGAACTTGGGAAAGAAAACAAACACTCTAAGTTGTTTAGATATACTTCAAAACTTCTTCTTCGTTTTCAGGCACAAGAAACGTTTGTTTTATTTGAAAAACTTAAAAAACTAATATTATTTATGTTATTGACATTAAAAGAGGCAATACAAGGCTAATGCTTATAACGTTTGTAATAAAAGTAAGAATATCAAAATCTAATATTATAATTATTATTAATGAAATAATAACATTTTTTTGCACAATTAGTAATATTAATATTATTAATGTAGAATTATAAAAGGCAATTAACATTTATTAGAAGATTTTAAATCACTAAAATGAAGCATTTAATTTCGTTTTGAACTCCACTCTCCATCTAAAGAAGGTAACATTCAAATTATATAAGGCAACTAAAATTTGCTTCCATTTAGAGAAGGTAAAGCTCAATTATATAAGGCCGCTAACGTTTGCTTCCATATAAACGTCAGTTGCCTTATATAACTTTTCTATGGAAGCTAATGTTAGTTACCTTATATAATTTAGCTTTATCTTATTTTAATGGAAGCAAATGTTAGTTGCCTTATATAATTGAGCTTTAATAAAAATTAAAACTAAGTCAACAAATATTAATGTTTTAAGGAAAATCAATATTCAAAATTTGAATATTACCTTCTTTAGATGGAGAGTGGAATTCAAAGTGAAATTAAATCCTTAGTGATTTAAAATCTTCTAATAAAGGTCTAACCTTCAATTTCACTCCGAACTTTCCAAATATTTACAATTTCACTCTAAATTAACTTTTATACCTTGGACACTCTGAACTTATCAACCTAGTTGCAATTATACCTTAATTTGCTTTTAAGGTGCAATTGCATCTAAAAGTGAATTGCAACACTTTGAACTTATCAATTCGTTGCAATTGCACCTTAAAAATAAACTAAGGTCAGATTTTTAATTAAAATAATATAAACAAATGGACTCCAAACCCAAGTATCTATATATATATAAAAGCATAGCAGTTTATGTTATATGAAAGCCAAGTTTAAGTCTCTGAAATTGCCAAATATATAGAGGACAATAATAATTATTTAGCAAGATTGTGAAAAGATAAAGTTAATGACAGCAATTGTAAGAAGATATGTTGTTTTATATTTTTAAATAATGTCTTTATTATGATAATAATATCTATTAGTTACATCCCATCATGATAATGCATTAAATTAAATTAAAATACAAATAATCCAAGCCATACTTAATTTATATTAGGAGCTAGGCTGCACGGACACATGATATGATATATGGAAGATACCAGATATATGATAATAAATATACAATAATTTATAATAAATAAAAAATAGAAAATAAAAAAACTTAATTTTTTATTTTAAAAAAATTAAAATACAAAATGAATCCAAGCCAAACTTAATTTATATTAGGAGCTAGGGGCTTGCACGGACAACATGAATATGATAATATGGAAAGATACAGATATATGATAAATAAATATTACAATAATTTATCATAAAATAAAAATAGAAAATAAAAAAAACTTAAATTTTTTTATTTTAAGTATAATTTAGTTTAAATTAAAATTAAATTAAAATACATATAACCCAAACTATATAAATAAAAAATATTTAAATTTCTTATTTTTTTAATGAATTTACCTTGATGTATGGGGTAGTTTATACCACCAGAAGCTATGTTACAACAGATACGGGACACGAGATACACGATATGTATAAGATAATGAATAATAAATAAATAGTCATTTATAATAAATAATAACATAAAATAAAAAAAATACTTAATTTCTTATTTCTTTCAATATAATTAGTTAAATTCTTAAAAGTATTATCACTATTGAAAAATCTATATCTATCTATATCTATTTATATCTATCTATCTAATATATAAAAATAAGGTAATTTGCTTTATATGGAGCCTAAGTGTAAGTAGCACAGTTTGCCATTTGGCATCATTTTGGATTATAAAATGACGGATGTTATAATTCATACAATTTAGCAAAATTGTAAAAAGAACAGTTGTTTTATATTTTAAGATAATCACTCCATCAAGATAATATTTATAAAAAAGATTATCTCTAACATTTAATTTAATATATCAATATAAATTTATTTCTTCTTACAAAACAATTATTAAGTAATCTACACGCTTAAAAGAGTGTGAACACGCTTAAAAGAGTGTGAATAAGCGATATATTACTACTAAATAAACAATATATAAGCAATTTAAAAAATATAAATTGAAGCGTAGGGGTTCGACAAGTTTTTAAAAAGTAGGACATTCACACATTTAGGACACATTACACTAAATAAGTAATACATTAATATTTCAAATAGATAAATAATAATTTATAATAAATTATAAATATAAAATAAAGAAAAAACTTAATTCCTTATTTCAACGATACAAAAAATATTTAAAAATACTTCATTTTTATTGGTAATATAAAAACCTTGGTTGATTAGCTTGGTATATAGAGTAGTTTCATATGCCAGAAGCTGAGTTGCACGGAAACAGGACACGAGATACGAACGTACAGGATATGATAATTTTTAAAAAAGATAGGTTATTCACTCGCTTAAAACGTACAGGATATGATAATTTTTAAAAAAGATAGGTTATTCACTCGCTTAAAACACACTATACTAAATAAGTAATACATTAATATTTCAAATAAATAAACAATCATTTATAATAAACATAATATAAAAAAAACACTAAATTTCTTATTTCAATTACACAAGCAAATTAAAAAGAAACAATTCGTTTTTATTAGTAATAAAAAAAATCTTAGTTGATTAGCTTGGTTTATGGAGTAGTTTCATATACTAGGAGTTATGTTGCATAAACACAGGACACGAGATACAAGAACATATGAGATACAATAATTTTTTAAAAATGTAGGATATCCACACACTTAGGACACGACACAATAAATAGGTAATACATTAATATTTCAAACAAACAAATAATCATTTATAATAAATTATAAACGCAAAATAAAAAAAAACTTAATTTCTTATTTCAATGAAACAAAAACAAATTAAAAAAAACACTTTATTTTTTATGGTAATAAAAAAATCTTGGTGGATTAGCTTAGTGTATAGAGTAGTCTCATTTACTAGGAGCTATGTTGCATGGAAACGGGATACAATAATTTTTAAAAAAGGTAGGACATCCACACACTTAGGACACAGTACACTAAATAAGTAATACATTTAAATAAGTAATACATAATATTTTTAAATAAAATAAACAATCATTATAATAAATCATAAATATAAAATAAAAGAAATTATTTAATTTCCTATTTCAAATGACAAACAAAAGCCAAAATTAAAAAAAAAACACTTTTATTTTTATTGTAATGAAAAAAAAAAATCTTGAATTGATTAGCTTGATGTAAAGAGTTAGTCCCTCATATACAGGAGTTAGATTGCAACACGACACGTGATACAAGAATACAGAACATACAAATTGACAATTTTTAAAAAAGATAAGACATCAACACGCTTAGGACATAATACACTAAATAAGTAATATATTAAATAATTTTTAAATAAATAACAATCATTTAATAATAAATCATAACATAAAATAAAAAACAATACTTAATTTTTCTTATTTGCAATAACACAATAGTCTAAATTAAAAAATACTTTATTTTTATTGTAATAACAAATAAAAACCTTGATTGATTAGCTTAGTGTAAGGAGTAACATCTCATATATCAGGAGTTAGGTGCATGACGATGAGACTGATCCCATAATGCTTAGACACATTACACTAAATAGAGTAATAACACTAAATATTTCAAATAAATAAAATAATCGTTTATAATAAATCATAAATATAAAAAAATTTTAATTTTCTTATTTCAAATAGTTAAATTCTCAAAATTATATCAACTTATTGAAAAATATATTAATAGCTTTATATGCATTTTTTTATGTAGGTCCATACATGGCATGACTTTTGCTATTGCATACCTTATGAAAAGTTTCGCATGATACTTAAGAAGACAAATCCTAGCATCGCAACTTTTCAGCATATCCTCAACAAAGATACAATTTTTTTACCAAATTTTAATTATATAAATTTTACTATTTTTGAATGATGTTATAAAATATTATTTCATCTTTTAATATTATTCTGGGCGCATCGTGCGGATTAATAAAGAAAAAACCAATATATTTTTCCAGATAATAATCATAAGGAGGAAAAAAATAAATTTAATATTAATAAGCGAAAAACTATTTTATTTGGAAATAAAAAGGAAATATAAGGGAAAAAAAAAATTTCGATAATTTCTCTCAAATAGAATGGAAAATTAAAAAACTATAAAATAATTGTAGAGAAAATTAATTTTATTTTATTTATAATCCAAAAAAAAATTAAAGTCAACGAAAAATAAATT